TATTGACAAGTATGGTTGTAACTTCAAGCTCATTATTGCTTTACACTTCTTCTTCGAATGATTATTTGCATGAACACTTCACCCACTACCCGATAATTTTGATATATTAAATTGTTGATCGTCAAAGTCCTAGCACAACTAAGCACTCTCGAAAGGAATTCTTCAAGTATCCAAGTTCTAATGTAGTTAGGCATTCTCCAAGACCTGTTGGGCTAAACACTTGCCAAGAAACACCCAACTTGATTAGGCATTCTCCAATTCTCCAAGTCCTAGTACAATTAGGGATTTGCCAATAAAGATGCAAATCAGTTGGGTAGTATCCATTTCAGTAAGTTTTAGCTCGGCTAAGCAAAAGTGAAGAGGATGAAAGGTTTTTCTTCCTCCATTAATAGACCCTGAAACATTTCAATTTCAAGGGTAAGAGGGGGAGTATACCCCCAATTCAAAAATCATGTGGAAATCAAAAGGGTAATATAGTAATTTCACAATATACAAGATGGACATTTAGCACTGTATCAAATTCTTCGAAAAAAACTACAACCACAAAAAAATAATTCATGATGTACGATGACATGAGACGTGAGGCATGTCCCCCACTTAGCGAGTGACAGGTAGCCACAATGAATCACCGAATAATTGTAAAAAGCAATTAAAAGGATAACACGGAGACTAATGCCTCCAACATGTAACCAACTACATTAGTCGGATCTCTCTCAAAATGCCCAACAAACAAATCATAACGTGATGTTGCTCGACACTCAATATCTGGGCACTTATCATGACAATCTGCTAACAATGTTGGTTGGCCAAAAGATTTTTCAGCACATATCCTATAAATCGCCTATCATACTAAGGTGGTCGGATGAAGCTTTTATACATCTTGGCACTTTGACTTTTTAGACTGCCAAGATAGGGGTTTCTATTTTGAATTGGCCACACAAGCCTAATTCATTGGGCTGACCATTAAGGCCCATCAATGGGGTTACACCCCTTAAAATAAGGCAAGTGTTTCCTCACCTCACCAGGTATCACTCACCAAGCACATGCACCTTACACACAGGTGGGAATGCTTGTCCACACCTAATGGGTCTTAACAAGGGCAGAACAATTATGGTTCTCTCTCTCTTACTTGAGAATCTTTTTCCTACTATAAATTCTCATCTCCTTTATAGGAAAGACAAATTTTGCATATTCACTTACTTTGTCAGATTTCAACCACTCAGAGCCACTATGCCCTCAGAATCCCCTTTAATTCTCAACCTTCATATGAGACTCACTCATAGTGACTCCACCATATAGCATTAGTATATCCCACTAACTCTCTAAATCACCTATACTCTTTGAGAGAAACATATATAACCCAAACAATAGGTCGTGGTTACTAGGGGTGTAAATGGGCTGGGCTAGGCTGGGCTTTGGCCTTCCTGGCCCAAGCTTGCGTAAAAAAAAAATCAGCCTATCTGGTCTACTGGCCTATTAAAGGCTTTATTTGTAGGCCGAGCCCGGCCTATTTTTAAATTAAGAAAGCCTGACATGGCCTACAGGCCTTATAGGCCTTCCACTGTAGATACTAAGCAAAGAAAATAATTGTATAAAGCAAAGAAAGTTCCATTCATACATGCATTAGTACTTCTCATAAGAAAAAAATAACAAACAAAAAAAGTCAACATAATACCCCAGACGAAGCTGAGAGTAAGAAGCGGCAGTGCATATAAAAATTAGGGTTGGTATTGGTACTTTGCCACATAAAATAAATATTATTATTTTATTATATTTTAATAAATTAAATAGGCCAGCCTACAAGGCTTTAGGCCAGGCTTGATAAAATTGGCCTATGGCCTATTTGTTAAAAAGACTTTCTTATAAGCCTAAGCCTACTATACACTCTCTGAAAGGCCGGGTTAGGCCAGACTCAATGTAAGCCGGGCTGTAGGTTGGGCTGACCCATTTCCACCCCTAGTGGTTACCCATCTAAATTTCAATATACAAATGGTCCTAACATTACTTATTTAGTTGACATGTGTCGTTATTATTGGCAAGGTTTACATCATTGAGAGATCATATTTAGATATCAACCTTAGATATTAGGATCTATATGTTCGGTTTTAGTCAAAAATAGATTCAAATAACTTGTTCTTAATTCTAACTCATATATAGCCTTCCTACGTCTCTTAGGTGAAGAATCAAATATTGTTACATATCTTAGGCAACCTTCCTACGCTAAGGCGTTTGGTACAGGAGAAATTTTTATTTGTCCGGGAATCTCGATTTTCAAAAATATGATTTTTGCATTCAGTTTACGATAACATCTGAAAATTTAAAATTTAGAAAAAATCAATTTCCCGGGAATCCCTCAAAATCCCGCGTACCAAACGCCCGTCTTCTTCATCTCTTGAGCTTACATTGTTATTGATCATATTCCTGTAGTGCTTAAACTTATATTATATACTCTTTTGAAAGATTATACAGATTACAAATACTTTATATATATTATGATTCTGTTAAAAGGTTTGAAATACCCTAGTGATTTTGTTTAGGTGGCCAATACACGTAAATTGGTGGATTTTATGTAAGGTTGCCAATAATTCATAATTTTGGTGGTTGTAGCATTTTTCAATCACCCATTTAAATCTTGGAAGATTAGTGGAAGAAATTTTTTGGTGTTTTGTCTAAGGAAAGTCATAGGTGCAAGTGGTTGGTGAATGAACTAAAATAAATCTTTTTGCGTCACTCTCCCTTATCTTTTTAATTTCTTGTGCTTTCTTGATTGCTTTTGCTTATGTTCTTGCTAAAATCTTGTGATTTTAAGTGCTTTAATTGGTTTGAGTTCTTTTTTACATTGATCTTTCATTCCTATATTATAAAGATCGTTATTTACTTAAAAGATATTGATCTTATAACTCATCACATTTAGTTTAGTGGGTGTTCTTGGTGCTATGATGAGTTATTTATTTTATAGTTATTTTCATTGTTGTAATATTATTCTTCATCTTAGGCATTCATTTATTGTATATAAAGATTCTTGAATATCATTCTTAAAAAAGAAAGAGGGACTCAATGAATTGAGTGGGTAGGGAAGGAACTCGGTTCGATTCCCACTAATATCATCTTGGGGAGGAGCATAAAACTTTAATCTTTGACCCGTCCCAAACTCAAGATTAGTCTCATAGCCGACTCAAATAGTCGAAGTTTGGAGATACCGTGGAAGCCTAATTGTAAGAGAGAATTAAAGTTAATATCTAAAACAAAAAAAGAGGGATATTTTTGAAAAGATTTGGGTCCCACACAATGTTGTGTGTGTAAGAAAATTTGTTGTATCATGTTAAATGACAAATCCAAACCCAATTCAATTTACTTTATTCTTAAGGTAGTGTTTGGTTCGGGAGAATTTTTTTTTACTAGGGAAATGTAATTGATAGGAAAGTGGTTGGAAAGTGAGTTTGATAGGAAAATGTAAAAAAAATTGTTTGGTTGACCCAAATATTACCAGGGAAATTTATTTAAATATGCAAAATCTATGTTCGGGAGAAATTTTGCACCTGTTTTTTCACTTGCCCAGTCATCTCAAAATACCACATCTCAAGTGGTATTCTGTAACAGTGAATTTCATCCAAAAATCAACACAAAAGTCATTTTTTCATCTATCCTATTTGCCTGGTATTTCTTGAAAAAACCTGAACCAAACGTGATATTTTCTAATATCCACCTACACTTTTCCATCAATCCTAAAATAAACCTTCAACCAAATACCCGCACATTCCTAACACCGTGCATAAGGGGGGTAGACAGAATTGTCATACACCACGTATGAAGGAAATGCAAAACATATAGAATAACCCAATTTAGTTGACTGAAGTAGTGCATAACCTCAATAAACTTTGGATTACAATATTTGATTCTAATACCTTCCTCACATATAGAAGAAGAAATCAAATCACAAGAATTAGGAGAAAAAAAATATGTTGCAATGGGTCAATTTTAAATCATATTTAGGCATGCATATTAGTTTTTATTTCTTTCTCCACACTAAATTATGAACCTCTTTTAGTAATTTTAAAATTATTATTATTAGCACAAAATAATTTTTCGCAGAAATTATGCAAATGTTAAGATGTGCCCTTAAAAATTTCGGCCACCATTCAATACACAATTTTTTTTTTTTAACCACGTGAGGTTTTCGTATAATCTCTATGAGAATATCTATACTAAAAAAAATAATGTAAGGTTGTTAAAACTTTAAAATATTAATTTAAAATTATTAGAGTCAACGTGATTTTACTAATTTTTTTTTATTAATAATGAAATCGATGACTTTTGAATGGGTGAATGCCATTTAGTTACCATCTTGTTTTAATCATTAACCAACCTTAAATTTTATCAAAATCTTGAATTTTTTTTAAATAAATCTTGATTTTATTTTTTTTTGAAATATTTTAATCGATTTATGATTTCATGACTAGTTTGATTTGGGCTGGTCCCGAAATTAAGGCTTTAAATCTTCTAAAAATAATATTGAAAAGGATCAGACACATACTTTCATCCTCACCTATACGATTTACTAATTACCAATTTTTTTGTTAATTTTGACTTTCTTAGTTGAAAAAAATGTTTATCCTTTTAAACGACACAACTTATACTTTTTTATTCTTACAAAAAGGTGTCATCTACACTTTTTTTTTTCAACTCTCTTTTCTTTTTTATCTATCGCTTTCTTTACATTTTTTGAAATGACGCTCTATTAGTTTTGGCCTTTTGGGCCATGATTCGCGAAAGCCCAACTAACGAAGGCACTCTAAGAAGTAACCAGCATCGTTTGCCAACGCGTGACGGAGACGCAGCTGTGTTCTTCGCCCACCATATAAACACTGTAAAGCCTTAACCAAAGCTTTTCTTTCTCCTTAACCTCAAATCTTTCATGTTTTATATATTCATATTTCGGTCGTTAGTTATTGCGGTTACTACCACACTTTCATTCGACACAAGGTGTCTCCATTTGACAACTCTGGCAGCTTCAGCAATATAATTCTTGTACAGTTTCCAACACTTTGCGATTTTATATTCACTCTATTTGTTATTCTTTTATTTGAAATCATTCTTGCTCTTGCAAATTTTACTTTCTTCAAAAAAAAAAATGGGCCGATTATGCTATACTGTTGTTACTACGAAATTCATTTGAAAAGAAAAAGAAAAAGAAACATAGATATTGGTTGTGCCAAGCCAAACACGATTGCTTAGTTGTTGCAAATATTCCCATTGAATTTCCTTTGTCTGAAACCTGCACTGTTCTTAATTATGCTTTCAGTTTTTGAACTATCTGACACTTATTGTTAAGGGATTCTTTTGTTCTTTTCTTTCCTTCTTTCTTTTTGTAGAATGTTCTATATTAAAATAAGATTGTCATTTTATTCATTGTTGGTATAGTTAGAAATTAAAGGTTTTGAAGTCTTAACAGAGCTAATTGAAAAGATATGGAGAATTCCCAAGATCAGCCACTCCCTCCAGGTGTTCATTCTTGGCCTAATTATTCACAGCCTGGTGAGAACAGACCTCAGAATCATTCAAACTATTCTGGATACTATCAATTTTCGCCGAATGTCGCTGCTCCTTTGCCTCAATATCAGTTTTCTCCCAATGCTCCTCATACATCTGTTTATAATACCCCTTATAACTTTCAACAAGGACCCTTCTCTCAGTCTGGATTTGTTACTACTCAAGCATTGACCTTGGAGGCCCCTCCCAATGTGAAATCAACAGAGCAGCATGAACAAAATAATAAGTCTTCGAACAATGTTGATGGAGGACATCAGAGCGTTGAGAATGCTAATTCAGCTGCATTGCAAGAGTTTGGTGTCAATTTTACTCAGAATGTGGATGAAGCTGCAGTGAATGGTTTTAAACAATTAAACAGTGCGAGTGACATTGATATTGCTGCTCAGGATGCTGTGTTACGCGAACAAGTCTGTATCTCTTGTATTTTCATTTTTATTTTGTTATTTTAATTTAATCATTCTGATTATTTTGGACTTGTCTTCGCTGATAGGAAATCACCACCCAAAATATCATAAGGAGTCAAAGGTATGAACTTTTTTATTTTTCTTCTGTAGAATACTTTCTTGATTTTGAAATAGTTGATACATGTTAGGGAATTGAGAAATTAAGATTACAACGCTCGATGTTTTTGTTGTGCCAATCCAGAGAGGTAAGAAATGTGGCTTCACCTGCCAAGGATAATTTAGACATATTCTCAGAACGACGTGACCCCAATGCTTTGAAGGTGCGTGATGAACACATTATTGGATTTAGTTTTATTTCTCTGAAGAATATAAGAGGTAGACAGTTTGCAATCCCATTTTTCTATTCTTTTCTTATTTTTTTTTTTATTTTAAAAAAAACAGGAACATCTGTTGAAAATGGCCACAGACCATAGGGCTGAAATGGCTGTTAAGCGTGGGAAAGCTGCACGCCAAGAAGAAGGTCTGTAGTTTAATAACTTTAACCAAGTATTTTTAATTCTTTGCCAGATATTTTTTCTTTTTCTTCAGCTCAGTGATAATGTGGCATTGCATGATGTTATTGGTGGAGTGGTTATATTGCTCTATTCTTAGCTTTTTCCTTCGTTTATGACTTAATTTCTTTGTATGTTGTTGCCTCTCCTTTCTGCTCTTTTGGACTTGAGGATGCTCAACTCTGTTGGACTTTTCTTTTCTCTGTCATGAATATGATGATTACTACTAGTTGTCTTTTTTTCAGACAGGAAAATACTTCAATATTCTTCTTACTCAAAATGCCTAAAAGGAGAGGAATATATAGGAGAGGACATGGCAATAGGTCTGCCACTGCCCAAATTGGATTGTCGTAGTTTTCGAACAAAACATTAATACACATTTAAGTTTGGATTCAAATTGGAATTCAATTGAAGAGTAACTCTATTTTTTCCTTAATTCCAGCATTAAATCTCCTTAATCAAGTAACAAAAATCAGGCTAGAGAGATTTTAGGAAACAGCCTTCCTAATCTTTTTATTAAAATGGTTGACTAAACAAAATGATGAAACATAATTAAATTAACAGAATTAAATCAGAAAAATACAATTAATCGCTACTGAAACTGATGCCTAAACTTTAGGGATTGAGATCAGAATCCAATAGTCCCCCTAAGCTGGTAAATAGATGTTTATCATTCCTAGCTTGCCATATTAACAAAGAGTGCAGCCAATAGAGAGGAATGTCTTAACTGAATACAGCAGTTACTGAACAAAAATCTAAACAACTGCTATCAGAGTCTTAACTGACTAGGCGTTGCATACTCTAACATTATCTGACATAATACCCTAATCTAATACTCCTATTTGTACTAATAATTAGGTTAAATACTAGTACTACTAGTTCAAGCCCAAGCCCATTAACAATATGATTAGCAATCCTACTATTGTAACAATGATTAATATCTTTGTTCATCAAGTCAAAGAAATGGTCTTCCATTTTGAAGAATCAAATATCCTAATAGATTAGAAATATTTATATCAGCAAATAAAGTTGGAGAAAAGTAATTCAATGTTTTCTGTCAAAATTAGATTATCGGGTACTAGTTGATAGTTGTGTGTATTTATATATGAATATGATCTCTTAAGTTTGATTGGATACCCTCATGAATATGATTTGACATTATTTTAGGTACTAATGAGAATGTTGCTGAAGGCAGTGTAATTTCATATTTTACTTATGTCTCTCTTTCTTTGGATTCAGGACCTTAGATGGCTAGGATTAGATTTATTCTAAGGGCTAGAATTTGGTTTGAAATTACAGTTTTTATCCTGTATAATTGGGTTTCAAGGTTGTAAGGACATGGATACGGTTTTTTTTTTGACAGAAGTTTTCTTCTTTTTTCCTTATTGCTAACTAAGAGACCAGCCTTTTTTTGGCTTTTATCAGATGATTTCAGATCTCTTTTGTGCATTCTTTCCTCTCCTAATATGTCTTGAGTGCTAGAGACATTGTCCTAGGGCTTTTATACTACATCACACTTTGCGTACAACATTCTTAAACTTAAAACCATGAAGTAGGGAGGGAACATATGGTCTACAGTAGCTACGTCTGTGCTCTGGTCACTGTTAAGAGAGGAAAAATAGAAAATAAAACCTTGATATGATTTAGAAAAATATGTTTTGGCATGTGGTTTTCAGTTCAAAGCACTATGTTTTCATATTTTTTCTCAAACATTACTAATTTGCTGTCATTGGTTTATTTCGTCTATAATTTTGTTATCAATGAATCCGTATGCTTTCTTTTGGGATTATATGCCTTTACTTCTATATCAGGTAACACAGAAATAGGTAATGGATATGGTGTACCTGGAGGAGGTGCCTATTATGATGCTCCCAAGATTAATGCTACTACAGGTAAGTTTACTTCCAAAATTATTTGAGTCATGCATGCTGCAGCGCTCTTTTAACATTGCAGTAACTGAGACAGTGAGTATACCTTAACTTTGTTGCTTCTGGTACTGTGTAGTAGGTAGCAATTCATTCGTTCAGCCTGAATCTAAACATGATGGATGTTCAGAGCAGAAACCTGCAGCTAAAGAATTGCCTGAGTACCTCAAGCAGAAGTTGAGAGCTAGGGGTATTCTTAAAAATGATACACATAGTAAAGATCTTGTAAGAATATTGATTTAGTTTTTCTTTGTTGCCATGCTTCTTCCTCCCCCCCCCTCTCTCTCTCTCTATGCTCCACCAGTTTATGGGTTTATTTATCATCTTTGTGTGTGCGCGAGCATGTGTGTATTTTTCCTTTGGACGCTGGGGGTGGTAATCTGTTTCTGAGGCTGCATTCCAAAATATAGTATTGCGAGTTTCATTTGGGTTTGAACTCAGTGATAGTGAAGCTTTTAAAATTATTGTGCTGCACCTTTAATTTAGAATTCTATTTTCACTTCTCATGGGCATAGATATTTTACTGTAAATTATTTTGTTCAATCCCCTTACAGATTACCCCTTTTTTTTTTTTAATTTCAGAAAGGTACTTCAGCTGGACTTACGGAAAACGAAAAGTTGCCTCCGGGATGGGTGTGTATTACTTATTATAAACGTTTACTGTATGCAAAATTTCTTTGCATATGCCTTGCAAATAGCTATTCTAAATTTCCTTATCAGTCTTGGACTTTCTTGAATGTGATCCTAGCTTTGACAACAAAAAATTAGAATTAAGATTTGGGCATCATAGCTGCTGCATATTTAGTGATCACTGCTATATTGTGTATATTTTTTTGAAAAACAAAAAAAGGTTAAGCAAGTCTTATTGACCGTGAGCATTTTGGTATATATATGGATTATGGAAGAATATGGCCCATCTTAAATTTGAAAGATGATAAGTCAGATTTGGTTTTTACTTTAGGGCAAACCCTGTGGATAAAGCTCCCCAACTTTGCAAGAGTAAGGGTGAGGGTCGATTGCAGGCAAATTTATTCTTGCATTTTTGCAAAGAGACTGTTTGCCAGACTTGAATCCATGACCTTCCAGTCACAAAGTAGCAACCTTATCGTTGCTCAAGGCTTGCCCTTGTGGTTATCACTTTAATAATGAAATAATATCTGTTTAAAGATAGATTTGAAGGTATATAATTACCGTCATCTCCCATTCTAAAGTCAAATGATGAGCAGGCTTCCATCATTTCCTTTCTTTCTTTAGGATTTTTAATTTTATTAAGACCTTAGTACTTTGTAGCTTATGTTAATTACTAATTTTCCATGTAGGTGGAGGCAAAAGATCCAGGAAGTGGTGCATGCTATTATTATAATGAGAGTACTGGGAAGAGTCAATGGGAAAAACCTCACGAAGCATCCTTAACTGAGCAATCACCATCATCTTTACATCTTCCAGAACATTGGGTGGAGGCATTGGATGAAACAACAGGTTCGACACATATAAAATATCACATGGTTGCATGATAAAACCAATCCAAAGGATAACAGACCAGCAAGAACGAAAAGATTAATAGTGCAAGAATTAATGGGCAAGAACACAATTAATCGATGCTTGTACTACTTACTGATTAAGAATTCAAAGATACAGGCATAGTCCTCGTGATACAAATTTACAGAAGCACCAAGAGTACTTATTACAAGAGAATCTGAATACAGAAGAAAGAGAAATTCGAGAGTCCCTAGCTCTCTTAACTCTACTTCTGTTCTTGGAAGAAAACTCTCGCACTTTACTTTCTGCCACTCCTATTCTATTTATTCCTCTACTGTTGTAACAGAATTGCTGAGTCAGCCATTAAGTCAACATGCTGGGTGTCCCTTTTATATACCTTTGTTGGCTGAACCACATCATTGCATTTTGTCTTTCTATGAGTTATGTTTATTATATATTTCTAACATCAAGAGAAGTCTCTAACGAGTGTACCTGTTGGCAGATGATAGAATCCAAGAATAGGATAGAAAATTTGAGAAAGTGCGAGAAAGCAAAGTTTGAAGAAATGAGAAAATAATCTGAACTAACTTCTGATTTTCATTCACACAATGCTGTTAATATGTCTTACAATATTTATAGGGATAGATCCTGATTAACCACATAACTGAATATTGAAACAGATTAACAGAGTTTGATTCTGTTGCAGGGTAATAGAATTCTTGAGAGACGCCATTGATGCAAGAGAGAGAGAGAGAGAATATTTGAATCTGAATCTTTATTATGAAGAACGCAATTTACACAATGCTACACTCTATCAATATATAGAGTGTGAGAATGCTGACTCAGCAAGTGAGTCAGTTCTAACAAACAATCAGTAAGCTAACTAAGCTATAACAGAAAGCTATAACAGAAAGGGAGATGAGGATCTGATACATGCATGTGTACAATAGCAGAAAGTAAACCACTACTTATCTAATACACCCCCGCAAACTCAGGGATCTTGAGGCAGGGAATCAAGAACCCTGAGTTTGGTTCTTAACTCAGCAAAACGTCCAGGGGAAAGAGCCTTAGTCAGAGTATCTGCCAGTTGATCTGAAGCAGGAATGTGCGAGACAACAAGCTCATGAGCAAGCACACGTTCTCGAACAAAGAAGATATCCAATTCCATATGCTTAGTTCGAGCATGTAAAACAGGATTATGAGAGAGGGCAACAGTGCTCAAGTTATCACAGAAAATGCGTGGAGTAACATAGGGAACCTGTAACTCACGAAGGAGGGATTGAACCCACAAAATTTCAGCACAAGTAAGAGCTAAACTTCGATACTCAGCTTCAGTTGTTGAGCGTGCTACCAAGGTTTGTTTCTTGGACCACCAAGAAATGAGATTAGGACCCAAGAAGAGAGCAGCACCAGATGTAGACCGCCTATCATCAGGATCACTAGCCCAGTCAGCGTCACAAAATGCTGTAATAGAGAGAGGATGTTGAGGAACAGCCCTTTGAAGCACAAGACCATATGTAACAGTCCCTTTTAAATATCTGAGAATTCTTTAACTATTTTCCAATGATCATCTAGTGGCTGCCCCATGAATTGGCAGACCTTATTGACTGCATAGCTGATTTCTGGACGGGTTATGGTGGCATATTGAAGTGCACCCACAACTGACCTGTAGAGATGAGGATCTGAGAAATAATTAGAGCCAAAACGTGAGAGCTTACAGCTAGTGGGCATGGGAGAGGAGATGCCTTTTGCATCAAACATGGCAGCTCGAGTAAGTAAATCCCGAATGTATTTGCCTTGTGACAGAATCAAACCACCAGAACCATGAGGCTTTACTTCAATTCCAAGAAAGAAATCCAAGGTGCCAAGGTCTTTGAGAGCAAATTGAGAATGAAGTTGAGTAATCAAAAATTGAATGTAGGCAGCTGTTAGAAATAATATTATTTTATTATTATTAGAATAGTCTAGAATAGTCTAGATTGTGGGCTTGGCCCATTAGGTCATCCCATTAGGTCTTTTTAGTCTCTATAAATAGAGAGCCTCCTTGTACAGACTTACATACTTGAATATACAATATATTTCAGATTCAATTTGGTATCAGAGCTCTCGATCTGAGGGCTCTGCTTCCGCATATATATATTTTTTTCCTTTCGTTGTACTGCCGTGCATCATACCGGCAAACCTTTTTACCGCCGTGCATCATACCGGCAACCTTTTTCAACCCTCCGAACATTGTTAGACCCTTTTTCGATCTCAGATCGTCATCCTCCTTCATTGTTTGACCAGAAAACACTGTTCACATCGCAAGAAACACTGTTCCGTCACTGTTCATCACTGTTCCGGCCACCTTTCTGGCGAGAAACCACGCGATCAGGATCCCCTCACGCCGGCGACCATTTCTGTCCAAGACCCGTCCCAAACGGCCGCCGCACGCGCCTCCACGCGCCACCACAGCTGTCTGCGCGTGGGCCTCACGCGCCACCTCTCTCCGGCGCGTCTGCACTGTTCCGGCCACCTTTTCCGACCAAACCAAGGCAGACAGGCTCGCCTCTGCCTCCTCCTTCCAGATCCAGTGACCGATCGTTGTGGGTCTCTTCCGTTCGAGGTTTCTAGTGCAAAAGTCGCTACTTTGTTCCTTTTTCGCGTAATTTTTACAATTTTTTGGTTGTCTGATCGCTGTTCCTGATGGAAGGAACCAGTAAACATTCTTCCGGCATCATTTCAAGTGCTATTCCATCTATCACAACTCTGAAATTGACCGGATCTGCCACTTACAAGACCTGGTCTACCTCCGTTAAGATCTGGTTTACCGGTCAAGGCCATGACAAACATCTCACCACTAAGAAGACTGATATTTCCCAAGATCAGATGACTGAATGGGAGAAAGTTGATGCTCAGCTCCTCAGTATTCTTTGGCAATCCATTGATTCATCTCTTCTCAATATTTTCATTCCTTTTGAGACCTGCTATGATGTGTGGACGGAAGCCAAAAACCTCTACACCAATGATATTCAACAACTTTATTCCATTGTCTCCCAGATGATGGATTTGCGCAAATCACCCGAAGCTCGTATGGAAGTTTATGTTGGTAAGATTCGTTCTTTGATGCAGGAATTTTTGGCTATGTTACCTCATGCTGCGGATGCTACAGTGTACAGGACGCAAGTGGAGCGTCTCTTTACGGTTGTGACTCTCTCTGGTCTCCCTGACGGATTAGAAAGTGTTCGTGAGAACATTCTAACCAGTACTGCGATTCCCAGCATATCCCAGACCTTTCAGCGCCTTCTGAATCTTCAAGATAAGGTGGCTCCCGCACACGTCACAGCTACTGACTCTACTGCTCTCTTGTCTGATTCTGCTGCTTTAGTCTCTCGTGGTAATTGGAACAATGGTGGTCGCGGTCGTGGTCGTGGCCGCGGACAAGGCGGTCGCGGGCCCATGACTTCATATGGCCCAGGCAGGCGCGGACAGACGATGTCGTATGGACAGGGTGGCCGAGGACAAAGGCCTCGGTGTAATTATTGCCAATATCTGGGCCACATTGAAGAACGTTGTTATAGAAAGTACCCTTACTTGAAGCCACCACATATGAACTTTGCTCAAACAGATGTTGTGCCGCCCTCTACCGGATCAGTGACTATTTCCGCTGCAGACTATGAGGCCCTTCTCCAGAAGAGTTCTTCTCAGCCACCTGCTCCAGATACTGGTAATCATGTTGCTTGTTTTTCTCAATCGTCTCTTGGACCCTGGATAGTAGACTCAGGTGCTACTGATCATCTTTGTGGTAATAAGGATCTTTTTACTTCCCTTACCTTTTCTAATAATCTTCCCTCTGTTACTCTTGCTGATGGCACCAAGGCTCCTGCTCGTGGCATTGGGCAAGCCAAACCAACTCCTTCTTGACTTTAACCTCTGTTTATTACATCCCTGGCATTCCTTTTAATTTAATTTCTGTTAGTCAATTGACCCATTCTCTTTCTTGCTCTATCACCTTTTCTAAACAGTCTTTTTCTATGCAGGATCCGAGTACGGGGAAGACGATTGGAGCGGGCGGTGAGTCACGAGGTCTCTACTATCTGCATGCACCCTCTGCTCCAGTTGCATGCTCTCTCACAGAGTCTCCTGAGCTTCTCCATAGCCGTCTGGGTCATCCAAGTCTCTCGAAGCTTCAGCATATGGTTCCTTTTTTGTCAGGTCTTAAGTCTTTGAATTGTCAGTCTTGTCAGCAGGGAAAGCATACTCGTTCTTCCTTTGCTAGTAGAGTCAATAAAAGAGCTGCTGCTCCCTTTTCTATTGTTCATTCTGATATTTGGGGTCCGAGTCGGACTATGTCAGTTTTGAGTTTTCAGTATTTTGTAACCTTTATTGATGATTTCTCCCGTTGCACTTGGGTTTATTTAATGAAAAATCGTTCTGAATTATTTTCAATTTATCAAAAGTTTTGTGCAGAAATAAAAACTCAATTTGGTGCTTCTATTCAAATCTTGCGCAGTGATAATGCAAAAGAGTATGTGTCTCTTGAATTTTCTAAATTTTTGGATACACATGGGACGATACACCAGACTACTTGTCCCCACACTCCACAACAAAATGGAGTCGCTGAACGTAAAAATAGATATCTAGTTGAAATTGCACGTACTCTTCTCATTCATATGAACGTCCCACTTCGTTTTTGGGCAGATGCTATTATCACCTCATGTTTCCTTATCAACCGCATGCCCTCTTCTGTGCTAAATAATGATGTTCCCCACAGTATTTTGTTTTCCGGAGCACCTTCTTATCCTCTGCCTTTACATATTTTTGGCTGTACTTTTTTTGTTCATGATCTTACTCCAGGTAAAGACAAGTTGACATCCAAGGCCTTCAAATGTATTTTCCTTGGGTATACCCGTTTTCAAAAAGGGTATCGTTGCTATTCACCTGATCTCAAGCGTTATATCGTTTCTGCTGATGTCACTTTCCTTGATCAGCAGCCTTTTCACTCTACTCCGTCTCCAGTG